TGTGCAAGAAACACAAATGTTCAAATCATTTCGTATTGTCAACATGAATCTTTTGTCACTCGTAAACTTACTCACAGCGGGAAGAGGAACCACAACTTTTACTCAAGTACTGTTACACTGCAAAATATATTACTCATATAAGAGTACTCCCACATCTAGGACTGTATATTAGAAAAAGAAGCATTTATGATTTTCTAATTGCAACAATTCAAATTTTAACTTTTAAAATTTTTTATTTTTTTTTTGTATGATTCAGGAGGCAGAAACTTCTGCGCGTCTGAGGGGGACACAAAAAACTTTGGAGCTGACAGTCGAAAAACTGGAGTCGGACCTGGAGGAGACCAAAGCCAGGTTCAGATCCGCCCTGAACCAGACTTCAGCCAAAGGAGAACAGGGCAAGACCAAGACTTCAGTCCTCAACAGGTCTATAACACGCTAGACCAGAATTGAACAAGGACTGAACCAGGACTGAACCAGGACTGAACCAGGACTGAACCAGGACTGAACCAGGACTGAACCAGGATTGAACCAGGACGAGCGCAGGACTAAACTGGACATAAACTGAGAGAGATCTGGGATCTTGTCAGATTAAAAAAATATATCTGTGTCCAACATTAAATTAAACTATTAGTAATACAATGTCATAACACTTATGGTTGCACAGTCATAATTGTTCTAATAGTCTGTGTACTTCCTTCATTTGCCCAGCAGAGGGCAGTATTGTAATACATTAAAATTGGAGATTTCTTTGGGACTAAGATCTGTAAATGATTTGAAATATTCCTCAACAGTTTAAACTGTGACATCATAGAACCACAAAGATGCATCTACATTCACAAATATTCACTTTATTCAGTGGCTGTATTTGTGATTTGACATTTGTTCTTGTAAAAATGTATTGTCATAGTTATTTTTCTTGTAAATATTCTCTTTTTATCTCTTGTGCAGGATGTTTGAGAATAAGATGCAGGAGCTGGAGAAGGAGCTGTCAGAGAAGTCGTCCATTTTGTCTGAACTCAAATTGAAAGTGAAAGAGTCAAAGGAGCGAGAGGAGGAGACGCAGAGACACGTGAGGAGACTGGAGGACCAGGTGTGAGACTCAGTACACTCCCAAACCCCATACAACACATATAACCACCCATATAATCTCTATAAATGTAACATAAGGCTTAAATATAAATGGGTTAAATATAGGGTTCTGTCTGGATTTTGGTCTGTGAAATGAAACATCAATGTATACTTTGAGAGATTTTCATTTTAAGACGACTATCTGCACATAAGTCTCTCATTTGGGTTAAATACATTCTGTAAGTCTGCGCCAGGGCAGGTGTGGCTACAGAAGTATTAAACCACCTCAGTCTATGGAGTGAGTGAATGATGACTTTAGTCAGCTTTGAGAGACTTGTCAAACCTGTAGAATACAATACAAATGTAAAATATTGTTTTCACTTTAGAACTAAATGAACCTGTCATATGAAACTTATCTTTGTTTGATGGGATAAAAACTGCAGTAAATATTGATTATAGTTTTACATCAGTCATATAGGAGTTTATGAAGAAAAATTTAAGATAAATAAATAGACAGATACTTTATTGATCCCGAAGGAAATTAAATTTTCGGCAGCAACCATAAAAAGAAGAAATGTAATAATATTAGAGCAGTAAGACAATAGGAGAAATACAATTTGTCAACTGGGCAAAACTTAATTTTTAGTTTATGTATGTGATGACTGAGACTGAATGGGACTATAGTTTTACTGATTGACTGGATGAATGATTGTATCACTGTACATTGTATTGTATTTTATTGGCATTTACGCCATTTATAACATTAACCTGTCCAGGGACTGAAAGTGGAAATTAGCAATTTTGCTATAACCAAGAACAAGCATATGAGGTCTTTGTGTAGCTCATTGTTTTTTTATGTGCATTGTCCCTGATAAATAAACTAAACTAAACTAAAATTATTTTTTTTGTCCAATTGACAAATTGAATTTCTCCTTTTGCCATGGATTCTACTAGCCAGGCTGGCGCCACCTAGTGCCTCCGCTCAGTTTCATTTCTCTCCAGCGACTAGGTGAGGAATCGAAATACACTAGATGGTTTGCAAGAACCCCGGAAGTGTGAGTTCGGGCACCAGCCAATCAGCGAAGAGCCATATACTCTGTGTTAGCAACCATTCCCGAGATCGAGGATTTAAAACCAGAAAAAAGAGAATGTTTGGTGAATTTTATCAAGGGGAGAGACATTATTTCCCTTCTTCCTACTGGATTTGGGAAAAGCTTAATATACCAGTTAGCCCTGTTAGTGGTGCATTACATACATCATGACCAAAAAGCAGCGATTGCTTAAATAAAAAAAGTACCCACCTACCGGAGAGATTTTACACAATACAGCAGTAATTCATCATCTATAGCGGTGCGGTGTATAGAAGTACGGAGGTGGAACAAACAGCTTTCAGAGTCTGTCTGTAGCATTCCTCCTGAGTTCTAAAAACTGAATACCTCTATGTATGTCATCAACACAGAAAATTCCCCCAAAAGTGAAGGCATAAATTATGCACATGGAAGACATTTATTTAGTTGGCAGTTCATCCATATGCTTACTCCTAATATTATTATACTGTATTTGAACAGACTTAACTGGCACGTGTATAAAATGTTCAGTGCTTGTGTTGCAGGTGGAGCTGTTGAAGAGTTTTCCCTCTGGAGCAAAGAGCGACTCTGGACTCATGAAGGAGTTTCAGGCTCTCAGGTCTGGACGACTGTTACATCACCATGTGCATTATCCTCAAAGTATTTACAATCATCCGTATTATTTGTTTGTGTTTTAGGTTGATAAACTCTGAGCTGCAGAGGGAGATTACTGAACTAAAACAACAGATCACAGAAGACAAGAAGGAAACGAAGAAATCTACCAAAGAGGGTTAGAATATTTACACAATGCACTTATTAATTCATACATGGGTGATTTTAAGTGTCATAATTTCAGATGCTGTGCAGGGGGCTATATAACTCTATGGGAGGTTCACTGTTTTAAATTAAATCTCCAAATGTTGAACCTTATTATTTGTTTGAGATTGGCTCCACAAACCTGTCTTATTAAGTCCTTTTAACTGACAACAATCACATCTTTGGGGCTGAATAATGGCACCATTTTCTGAAGCTATTGTGAAAAAATAATTAACTGACAGAGAAGACGTTGAACTTTGTGCCAGTTTTTGTTTCATGTGGATTACAAATATATGAACCATAAACCAGGTCAACAAATCTGCAATCTGACAGGTAAAAAGTAAAGTTCCAGCATAGAATTTAAACTTACAATGTGCTCATGTGAAGTGAACGCAATCTACGCAGGGGTGTCAGCTTCCTGTTTATAGGTGACATTTTGAGGACTTTTCACCATTCAAAAGATCAAATTTTGTTCTGAATTGTTTATCACTCTGCCAACGTTGCAAATGTTTCACCTATTTTTAATACAATCATTTCCTCCACAAGCAATATATCCTGTTTTATTCTACATAAAAACTGCTAATCCTGTAGTTTAGATCTGTACAAACATGTTCTGAAATGTGATTCTTGTATTAGTTTGTCTTTTTGTCAGTTTTTTAGCCGTGTTTAAAATGTGAACTTTGAACAGAATCCTATAGTTAAAACAAAATGTCAACTCTAATCACTGCGCTTTATTTATATATTTTTCTCAATTGATTCAGTCCTATCTTAAACCCACTCTTGTCTTTCTGTCGTTTTCCTCAGACATGTCGAAGTTGGAATCCCGTCTGGAGCGTTCCGAGTCGGAGCGTTCGCGGTTACAGACGGAAGTGCAGAAGCTGAGGAGCGAGCTGGCGACCTTTGACCCTGCGTTTTTCGAGGAGATCGAGGATTTAAAATACAACTACAACATGGCACTCAAAAAGAACATCCTACTGGAGGAACAGCTCAGGAAAGTGTGCGAGCGATTCGGCGCCGACCTGCCCAACGTGTCCGTCAGCTAGAGAGGTAACCATAGCAACAACATCACTGCTAGGGGAAATCAACGTAAAAAATGCCCCGTAATAAATCAAATAAAGGCCTGAAATGCATAGTTTTGTTACAGTGTGAACAACGTAACTTTTCAGGTTCATGGGGAATGTCTATGAATGTTCCACTGTATGGCATTAAAGAGCTCATGTTTAGATCACCATGTTACCTTTTATAGTTTTGAAAATGCTATGCTCTTTGCGTCAGGCTTGTGAAGTTGTAGCATATTGTTTTGTATCATACTTTTGTATATTTATGAAAAATAGCAGTGTGGGAGAACGTAGGGAGGTGGGCTGATTGGACAGAATCATACTGCTAACCATAAACTAGGGCCTGAGAGAGAACTGAACTCAAACGTGCATGAATGACATCTAAAACCTCTTGAGACATGTTTTTGATGAGCGACCAACGTTCTAACATTGTGGAAAGATTCAAAAAGCTTTAACGCATGTACTCAGCCAAAACCTGAACCAGCAACCACCCAGTTTCTGGACAAAAACCCAACACCCTCCACCACTGTTATGCTATAGCACATTCTACACAATATCACAATAATTATATTTCTGTATTATCTTATTTCTGTATTATTTTATCTTCTGTTTGCACCTACAAGCCTTCTCTTACAAAGTGTTCTTCTTAAATTTCTTCAGGTCAATTGATACTTAGCAGTGACATCACAGTGGGATAAATACAAGTGTTTACAGTCCTTTTTGATTTTCAACAAGTGAGTGACTAACAGAAAACTGTTTGATAAATCAGTTTGGGTTAAAATAAAGCACAGATTAAAGATAACAGATCTTCAGACAGAGCAGTGCCTCAGTTAGATTCAACCCCCAAAAACATTGATGACATCAGCTGAAAAGTATCAATTAAAATGTATAATTAATCATTTCTCTCTGGCAGCTTGATATTTATACTTTGTAGAAAGTTTTGTGAATTTGTAAATGTGTGTATGAAAGATGTAATATTCACTTGTAAATAAACGATTTTCATGTTGGAGTCGTTTTTTATTTCACATTTGTTCAGATTAACAAAAAATTACAGCAAATCTTTATTTTGACATAAGACAATTAGCATTTGTAAACCTTTTTATAGTTTGTAAACTATTTTATTTAGAAAATTTAAACAAAAAAAAAATCATTCAAAGTCCAACCCACCCATGTTAGAACAGCAGTAATAAGGCTTGTCACAATAATTACTATATCCACTTATCGGTCAATATATGATTAGATGGAACTATTTTATTTTGCTTTTGTAATATCTGTCTTTGCAAAAATGGGGATACTTTTACAAATACTGTTCATTAAAAAAAAAGTTTACTGGGATTATCCTGTTTTATTGTTTTTGTGTAAGTGGTATAAAGTACTTTCCGTATTATCATTTATCGTTATATTTCTCTGTAGTGATATGTTGTACCTCAAAATGTTATTGTAACAGGCCTAGGAGTAAGTTCAAAATTCAACTGTCAACTTCAGTATTGATTATTTACAGAGAATGTAAACAAATACATTCTGTACTACTATAAATACTACCATTCATGATTTTAAAGTGGAACTAAACACTAAATCCCTCTTTTTTGCTACTAAACTGTGCATAAGGAGTTTTAATAGCATTATCTACTGTTTCTAGTAGTTTTTGGCAATTTTAGTGCAAAGTAGACAAGTAGACTGCCCTGATTACAGCCGGGTGTTTCTGATACAAACACCAGGCTGCGGGGGCGGAGTCTGCAACCAATCACACTGTTCCACTGATAAATGTTGATGGTGTCTTAGTCAACCCAAAACTTGTATAACTTATTTTATTAATACCTAGTTTCTTGGTACTTTTTTCTGCATAAATAGTAATTTTTACAAGATCTCACATACAGGTGTCGTCTTGTGAGTTTGGGTCAGATACATAAAGATACGTAATCGTTTCGAGAGCTTTTGCCACGCCCCCTTTTAAACCGACTAATCAATCAGCAGGACATGTCTTTAGTCCACTAAGAATTTCTTTAGACAACTGCAGCACTTAAAAAATGTCAAACTAAATGAGAATGTTTTCTTCTTTTGAGGTAAATCTTTTGGCCCATACTTTTTTTCTAACTCTCAAATGTGAGATCCTGGAGTCTGTCAAACTTGTGTCCGTTGAGTTTGGAGAAAGACGTGAATAAATCTTTACTGTCGTCGTATTCGTTCACCGTGGCGTTGACGTGCACCACCACAGGGCGAGAGGAGAGGAGAGTGTCCCCATCAGGCCACCGTAGCCCCACATGATGCCGGTGCAGCTGAGAAAGAGAAATACATTATGATTAAAAGTACTGATATACAGAATCGGCAAGAATGCATCTGGCTCGGACAGTGCCATTATCCAATATGTCTACTGATGTGAAGCTTTGAAAATCCCATAAGGACTGAATTTATGTTACATTACAGTGAAGTTTACAGCATAACTTTATAAATAAAATAAAGAATAAATTATAAAATATATTTATCTGTGACATAAATTCATATTTTCACTCATGAGTCTGTTCAAAAAGACAGATCTGATACACTCAGGACAAATTGGGAATGGCACATGGTACGTGCAGAAAAAAATATCTGGGCCAAATATCGGCTACATTTTCAATTTCGGACCAATACTAATGTCTGTGAAAATCTTCCTATATAACAATAAACCATCCCTATTAAACCACTGGTGGTCCAGGCCAATCACAGAGCAGCTTTGTGGTTTGGGCAGAGTCAAAGGAGAAGTGCCCAAACACAACAAAAATGTAGACAGATATATTTGAGTCTATTTGATCAAAAATACAGAGTAGTTAGTTTATGAAAAATGTGCAGAGTGAAAGATGTCTGTGCGTTTCTCTCAATTGGATTTAACTTACATTTGGTTTTTCAGTTTGTTCTGCTGTTGTGACACTTCCACCAATCAGCATGGAGTATTTGATTGAATGTTCTGCCATTTCCCAAACACTTCAGATAAATGTGTAGAACTTTAGAGGGGAGTGTACCTGTGTTGTACCTGACTGTTCAAATGGCTCTTGTTTTTTCACATTTAAAAGACATTTTTGTAAGTAAATCTATAACCCCTACCTAAACCATAAGCCTACAACTTAATGAATGTGGGAACATAGAGCTGACCCAAGTCAGAGTGCTACACATATCAATCTGCTGTGAGCCTGGTTCATTCAATTCAAACATAAAAGAAATATAAAGTAAATCAGCACATTATAAAGTTGACATTACCTTGAGTAGAGTTCCGTTGGGGCAGTGCCAGACGATCCCCTCCACTCGCCCCTCCGGCCTCTGGAGCCACGAGTGGAGTTTGTGGAAGTCCAGAGGAGGAGGGCCGCAGAGGGGCAGAGAGCCGTGAGACACCAGGCAGTGCACCGGGCGCTTCTTACAGCCCAAACCTACACAATACAATACATCAATCATGATTACGATTAACACAATGTAAACCTTAGATACCAGCCTTCACACTTCAAAATTTGTTAACGTGACAGGACTAACTGCTAGAATGGTCATACATTTTTCACAGCACCATGTTACTACGGCGACAACCAAAGTTACATGATAACGTCTGTCCCTGCATATCTGACTATCTAAGACTAACTTTAATAAAAAACACTTTTACCGTATGGATTCCCGTTGACGTTGGTCCCGATGAGCTCGAGAGTTTGCTCCAAGAGCTCATTTAAAGGAACAGCGGTTATCTCGAGCGTCCCCCTCTGCTGCTCCTCCTGTTGGTCACAGTGAGTGTTGCAGTTGTTGTGGTTGTTGAGATTACTATGGGATATGAGCCTAAGGACCAAAGCGGCTCCAAGCTCATAGTCCACCACAGAGGAGTGCCAGCAGTACTGTTTACTGTGTCTGTCCACTGGAACCCAGCCTGAGCAGAGAGGAAACAGGGGTCGTTAGCGTTTATTGTTTTGGAAATGCTAGATTTCCTGAGAACAAAGTATTAACATGTTTTATAAGTTTTCTTTCGCTTTTAACACTCTCAGTCTCCCCTCCTTTTCCTCCTCGTGTTATGTCACTCCCCCTTCAGAGTGATATCACAACACACACAATCAGACTGCGTTCTGCTAATGAAACTATGTTATGAAACATATTTTTGATGAGGAAACTTTATAGCACAGTAGAAAGCTCAAAAAAAAGAAAGAAAACTGCAAACTTGTGATCCACAAATGTTGAACCTTCTCATTATTTGTTTGGGACTGGCTCCACAAACTTGTCATATTACTCTTATGTCTTTTCTTAATCTTTAAGTATTTTAAACTGACAACAATCACGTCTTTGGGGTTAAATAAAGGCACCACTTAAGTTTATTTATACTGACAGAGAAGACACAGAATTTTGTGCCAATGTCTGTTTCATCTTATAGGTCCCAGTGTAGTGATAAAAGTTGTTGTTGTTGTTGTTAAACGTGTTGTGATTTTTTTGTACCTGGGATATGTCCATTCTCATCTGGCACAGGCTGATTGTTCTCATGTTTGACTCCACGAGCTGGGATCCAGAACTCAGGGACAGATTTAAAGTCCTCCTCTACATTCCACGAGAAACCTGCACCACCACATTAGACAACAAACAACAGGGCTGTGACAAAACAGTATTTAGACATATTATCTTTCAGTTATCATTTTATACATATTTATTCTTTTCATCTTTTGTTGATACTGTAGATACTGCAGACTGCTTCCCTCTGATCCAGAATACACACTTCTCCAATACTGGGCAAATCTCCCAGAGTTCAGATGGACATGATTGACAGGTGGATTTACCAATCAGGGACATGCATGCTCCCTTCATATCAAAACAAATATGGCTGCTTATAAGGAAAAAAGACATGACTGACTGACCAACCAGCATCTCTTTGCATAAAAAATGCAGAGATATTGGTCTGGATTTGCCAGACAAGCAGACCGCAATTTCAAATGTAAAACAGTTGAAGCAATAGTGTACCATTCCAATTCTTAAGACAATTGAATTTCTCCAACAAATTGGGGTTTTCAACATGATCCTGGTGTAAAGATGCATTTGTTTCTTTATAAAAAACATTCTATATCATGTGTGACTTGTATAGTTTATTTTATTACTGTGAGCCATGTATTACATAACCAGTGATTCGTAGCTCTCCTAAACCGCTATTCATTTAGATTACATTGAAACCTCCTTCTCATATTCAGACTGTGTCCAGACCTTTGCCAGTGCGATGCAGATGCTGGTGTCTCTTAAAGCGCTTTTCCGCCTGTTTGTTTGGCTTTCGGTCCAGTCGAGCCCAAAGGTACGGCTCACCTGAAGACACACAGATACACTTTACAAACCAGAGACAAAACACTGAATTGTTTAAAGAAAAAGTGTTATGCCTAGCAGATAAATATAATAATATATAAATAATAAGTCAACTACTCAGACTCATAAATGTTTATTTTGAAGGCCCTATATTACACAAAATTGCCTTTTGTGCGCCATGTTCTTTTGTTGTTGCCTCGTCAAAACAATACCAAAGCTCTATTTTGTTTCATTCACACATTTAAGTAACCCTTTGTTATTAGTCTAAATGTAGATAGTCTACATCTCCAAAGCTCAAAACACTCTGTTCCACCTTGTCATCACAAGGGGTCATGAAGCAGTAGCTTTCATGAAACAGTTACCTTTCACATTTTGGTCAGTACAAACAGGTACTTCCAGGGTTGAAATCATCCAAATAATTCTAGTGAAAATGTATGGCATTTAAAAACACAGTGGAGCACTGCCAGTATTACCATATGACATCAAAAGGTGGAGTGGACTGTTTTCAGTTTGAAAGAAAAACATAAATATGCAGGTTTTGTGTGTTAAACATGTGTGAATGAAACAAAACACAACTGCAGGTATGTATTTTGATGAGGAAACAACATTAGAACATAGATCAGGAAATGGTGTAATATGGGCCTTTTAATGTATCTAAAGTGCATATGGCAGGCTAGAGTACACATTTCATTAAAGTGAAGTCAATGCAATTATATTCAAGCTTTTTTATTGAAGTAACAGTACTCTCAAGTGAAAGTTTTGGTGGTTCCTCTTTCCACTGTGAGTAAGTCTACAATTTGATTTTTTGTGTCTTTTACTTAATGCTTGGTACTTCCAGTACTAATGTAACTTCAAATTATAAATCAGATACTACATTCTGAAAATTACTCTTTAAGTTACTCTTACTTGAGGAGTACTTTTCCCAAATACTTGCACCCTTACAACCACTTCTTAGACCACTACTTCTTACTTCTTCTTGAGTTTCTACATTAAACCACTCCCGAACAAATTAAGCATTACAATGTATCATTCTACTTGAGTCACATTATTTTGAAGTAACATTCCTCTTACTAAGGTACAATTTTTGGCTACTCTATGTCTCTACCCACCTCTGTTGATGACATAGATGGAGGTATTCCATTTTAACACTTTGCTCTACTTCCTGTAGTTTTTATTTTTTTACCTTTTATTCTTTTCCGTTATTCACAAATTGCTACTTAATTGATGTCCAATGGTATTATCCCTTAAGACCAAACCATAATTACAAAAACATGTAAACCTGTCATTTTAAAGTGGTTCTCACCTCTGAACAGGGAAACGTAGCAGCAGGTGCCATCCACTTTCTCCGTGGCAACCGCAGACTCCACATCCGCGTCCACGGCAACAGGATTCAGGGTCTCCGTGGCAATGACCTGATATGGCTGACAAATCCAAAATTCACTTTGAATGGTTGAAATCAAGAAATCATAAAGGCTCAATCACTTTTTAGATAATAATGTAATGTCCCTGTGCCTCCATGGGGTCTTTTCTGTATAAAATCTACAGTTTAGACCTCTACAAACATGTTCTGAAATGTACCAGTGTGTCAGATGACCTCCCTGTGTGTCCATGGTGTCTTATTCTCTGTAAATGCTGCAATCCCTGTAGTTTAGATCTCTACAAACATGTTCTGAAATATACAGAATTCTTGAGCTATTATGTTATTAATACCCATACTACATCATAGGCTTGTCTTGTAAATATGAAAAACGCCGACTAGTAAAATTTTGCAATGGATAAGGCTTGTTAAGGTAGAAAACAGTCACAAATCAGATTGTGATTACAGACGCAGAGCAACAATGCGCAGTGTTTTTAGCCTTTAGCATCATTAGCATCCGTTAGCATCCTCCGTTAGCATGAGCATTAGCACTCACCTGACAGTCTCGTTTTCGGGATGGTTCTTCCCACACCTCCGTGGTAAAAACGCACGGAACCTTGTGCTGCACCGAGCCGAGCCGCCGCATCTCCTCCCCGCCACCAATCTCAAAATCACGCGGAAAATGTGTGATTTATTTACACAGAAACTCAATGGATGTTCGAAGCGCGTTTGATGGACCAGCGTGCGTAGTCTTCTCCAGTGTGTTGCCAGATCCGCACAGTCATATTATCGTACAGAGAGCCCATATTTTTAGTTTTTCCTCCAGTATACTCCCAAAATTTGACGATAGTGCACTAAAATAAGCTGGGGATACTTAAAGTTATAATAAAAAAAATATTATTGTTATTCAAGTTAATTATCTATTATTATTTAATTAATTATTAGATTTTTTTTTTTTTTTTTTGGTCTGGCATATGTTGCTTTAACCGCTCAACCACCAGGCAGAACAATCAGATCTTATATTGGGTAATATGTTTATTCTAGTAATCAGAGTTTTATCATCCACATTCTTGTTGAGGAACTATATGCACCCTGCGCTCTTAGAGTAAAAAGGTCTTAAAATTACAACTGAACCTGCCTGCGGGTTGCCAGTGACAAAACCTGCAGATAAAAAACATATAGAAGTGTTTCTCATTCTCAGTATATGGAAAGACCATGTCTCATGTGAAAGCTCAGAACCACCAGAATTCAGAGGCTGCACTAGCACTGACTCATGAGTGGCTGGCGAGAGGCTCCTTTCTGCTTTCTGATTGGATAATTGTCTTGATAACCAAACACCAAATTAATATCAATAAATACATGGGGCACCATCCCCAATGTTTTCAGCATTACAATTCAATTATATCAACTACATGTATCTGATTTTTCCCACTTGAGCAAAATTTGTCTTGTCCTAGTACAGAAATATTGTATAAGCAGCTCTTGAGTTTAAAATAAGTCTGCTGTGTGCTGTCTGTGTCTAATTAGAAAGTGCTTTGGACCACTGTAAGACGATTAAAATGAACTGATTCAGTTTTTCACATTTTAAGATTCAGGTACAGCATCTTTAATTTTCTTTCATATGTTCATATTGATACTTTGAAGCTGAGGTCGTCATCATTCCTTGGGGTTGAGAAGCTAACTGGAAGCACTGCTCTGTCTGAAGCTCTGTTATTCAAATTAGACTCTTATCTGAGCTTTGTTTTAACACAATTTGACCATAAAGAACTGACTTAGCTGGAACTACAGCATGTCAGCTGATTTGCATAGTTGAACAAGTTACAAGCAGTTCAGTCACGCTCACCTGTTTGTTGAAAATCAAAACAGTATTAATCACTGTCTCCTGAAAATGTGCTCTTTCCCATGAGTCCTTAACCTGAAAACTTATCAGGCTTGGTAATGTGTGCATTGTGTCACCATGGTAAAATAGGCATACATGCAGAACCCCCCCAGCAAAGTCACTGAAAAGTAAATAGTCAGTTCATTCTTGTTTCATGGTTGGCATATAGCATAGTTTCACTGCAGATAGTGAACCTCTTCTCCTCCCTCTCCTCCCCCTCTTCCTCTTCTCTCTCTCTCCTTTCGTCCTCCTCTTCTTGGATCTTCCACATCTCCGCCTCTGTGTCGTCTTTCTGTGAGGTGGGAGACCAGCCGCACCGCTCCGAGCTTAAGAGACAGAGAGAGACATAATTATGGATGGAAAAATATACCCCTGTGTCTCAAATGTCTCTAGTTAAAGGTTGTATAGAAGATTTTCCAAGGAATGAGAAATCCAGCGACTGTTTGTCCTTTTTCAAATGTTGCGCATCCGTGAAACCACCCCCCCTCCCCTACAGCTCCCTACGTAGAAACACCTCCTCCTGCCTCCTCCTTACGCCAGAAACAGGTTTGTTTACAGCCGGTGCGCTGCACATGACTTGTAAACAACTAACTACAGTGTTGGTTATTCAAGGCGGAGAAGTGAGGAGCGGGGGGAGCGGGTGCGCGGACATTTCGTGCACGGACGAGAAGTGAGGAGCAGGGAGAAGAGCGGAGCAGGAAGCAGGGAGAGGAGAGAGGAGAGGGGAGCGGAGATTCCGTGCCCGGAGAAGTGAGGAGCAGGGGGAAGAGCGGAACGGGCAGCGGGGAGAGGAGCAGGAAAGGGGTGCAGAGAAGGTGCGCGGAGATTCAGTGCGAATGAACTAGCTACAACACGCAGCAGCAAGCGGACTCTTTCTTTGCCTTGAAAATTACGTTTTCAGACATAGGATATCGCATTCGTGTCCTGAAAAACGTTTGTCTAGCTCTTGGAAATAAAGTACGTTTTCATAATAAGCAGAAGTGACCTGTCCAGGAGTAATTTGGCGACCAGTGCGTCAGTCTTTAGACCCTGCGTCTGCTTCAGTTGCGCCATCGCTGGAATGAATCTTCAAGAATCACCTTAGTTTGGCTTCGCTGCTTTTCCCCTTGTCTTCTTCTTTCAGCGACCTCAAAAACGGACTTTCTTTTGCGGCTAACTGCTCCTGGATTCTTGTCTGCATTGCAACAAACTTTGTGCTAACTGCGAGGAAGATATAGGTCAAAAAAAGCCTCTAAGAACTGTTGCGTTGGTGGAGTAAACAGCGTCTGTGCGTCTTGCGTCTGTGGACTGCGTGACAGGCGTACGTAAACCACGTACCGGCGGCGCGCAGGCAAGTCAGTTACGCTAGAAACGTAGGGAGATTGATTGACAGCCTGTCAGCTAACAGATAACGAGGCAGTGTCGTTATCTATTGGCAAATGTTTAGCCCCACCACGTCCAGAGTTGATTAATTTTTATTCTCTTTTTTTTGGTCATCATAATTACAAGGCTACTGCACCTCTATAATGCTATCATTGACAATTTGAAACAAAAAAAAATCCTCCATACAACCTTTAATCTGCAGATGTAAACAGACCTGGCCACATTTGCAGATTTTCAATTTGATAAAAGTAAATACAACTCACAATTTGTAGTAGAAGAGAGCGCCCCCTATTATTAGGATCAGAACAATGACACAGAAGATGATCAGGACTCTGGACAACACTGAAAGAAAGTTAGCAAAAATCACTGCGGGTGAGTAAAAAAATTGGAACATAGAGGATATGGGATTCTATGGAGCAGAGGGGAGAGTCAGATGGAGCTGGGGATGCAGAGGGGAGGAGAAGAGGATGCAGAGGAGAGGCTCAGATGGAACAGAAACGAGGGTCAGATGGAGCAGAGGAAAGGGTCGGTGGAGCAGTGGAGCTGTGGAGGTCAGATGGAGCAGAGGAGAAGAGGATGCAGAGGAGAGGGTCAGATGGAGCAGAGGAGAGGGTCAGATGGAGCAAAGGAAAGAGTTGCAGAGGAAAGGGTCAGATTGAGCAGAGGAGAGGAGAAGAGGATGCAGAGGAGAGGGCCAGATGGAGCAGAGGAGAGGGTCAGATGGAGCAAAGGAAAGAGTTGCAGAGGAGAGTGCCAGATAGAGCAGAAGAGAGGACCAGATGGAGCAGAGGAACAGAGGAGAGGGTAGGATGGAGCAGGAGAAAAGGTTGGTGGAGCAGAGGAGCAGAGGAAAGGGCAGGATGGAACAGAGAAAATGGTCGGAGGAGCAGAGGAGCTGAGGAGACGGTCAGATGAAGCAGAAGATACATTAAACTTACCTCTTTGCTTTGGTAGGTTGACGCTTGCAGAACTGATTGCTTCTCCATAAAAACTACTTGTTGAAGTCGATCCAAAAGTAGAAGATGAATGAATTAAACCAACGGAAGATTTTGTCGTAGAAACCGTTTTTGTAGTCGTCTTTGGTTTAACAGTGGAGTGAATCCATGGGGCTAAAGTAGACGAAACATGTAATATTGTCCTTCTCGTGGTCAGGGGTTTGGTGGTTGGATTTGTTGCTTTAGACGTTTTTGGCAGAGTTGAAGTTGTACTAATAGCAGTGCTGGTACTTGTGGTAATACTAGTTGTACTAATAGCAGTGCTGGTACTTGTGGTAGTACTAGTTGTAACAGTAGTTAAAATAGTAGTAGTAGTAAAGGTAGGTGGAGGTGTAGTTTTGACATAAGTTGTTGAAATTGTAGGAGTGATTTTTGAAGCTTCTTTAAAATCTGAAAAAAAAAAAAAAAAAAAAGGGCTAGTGATTCAAGTTTTTTGGTTAGGAAAAGTCCATACAAGCTTGACAAGATTCTGGGGCTGGTACTTCTGGTAGTACTCAGGATAGTAGTAGTAGTTAGATAGTGTGTAGTTAGGATATGTTTTTATTAGTGCTGTCATGCGATAAAAAAAATTGAGAGATTAATTAATTATGATCTGTAATGAATTAATCTAATTAATCTAATTTTAATCTCACCTAAAAATTGCTGAGAAAAGCCTTCAATTTGAGGTATTTTCATTTAAATTCATTATTACATTATTGTGGCAGATCAAAAGACTGATATAGAACAAAAAAAAGTGACTTTATAAAGTCATTTATTGTTTAACCAATCTCTCCAAAATGGCTGTTCAGCCCAAGTCTCCATGAATAAAAAACTGTTTGTTGTAAAGCAGCAAAGACGAGGAAATCTGAACATAATAACTTTTGTCTACTTAAAGACAATAAAAAGTCCAGTCTTTCCTTAACCATATTAAAAATATTATTGATAGAGAAATGCTTTATATATGAGATCACTGGTTTTAGTCCTGGTTTAGACCTGGTTTAGACCTGCTTTAGTCCTACTTTAGTCCTAGTTTAGTCCTGGAATGGGTTAGTCCTGGTTTTAGTCCTGGTGTTAGTTCTGGTTTAGACCTGGTTTTAGTCCTGGTGTTAGTTCTGGTTTAGTCCTGGTTTAGTCCTGGTTTAGACCTGGTTTAGACCTGGTTTTAGTTCTGGTTTTAGTTCTGGTTTAGTCCTGGTTTAGTCCTGGTTTAGACCTGGTTTGGACCTGGTTTAGACCTGGTTTTAGTTCTGGTTTTTGTCCTGGTTTAGACCTGGTTTAGTCCTGGACTGGATTAGTCCTGGTTTTAGTTTTGGTGTTAGTTCTGGTTTAGAGACGCACAGGAGGAAGCGCAGTTTACGCAGCGTAGCGCGGCTCACGGGAGCACGTCGGTGTCCGCGCAGTAACTACGGAAGGAAACGTGGTCCGCGCGTTCTCAGGTTAATGACGATGATGAAGGTTTGTGTGTGCTTGTGTGTGTTTGTGTGTGTTTGTGTTTGTGTGCGTGTCCCCTCATGTGGCAGGTCACTATAGGACAGTAGTGCAGACATCATGAGTCTATGCAGGTTGTTTTCACCAGTGACATTTAAGTTGTAGGCGATTTTATATTTGTTATTTTCTTTTATATTTCACATCGGGAGAATAATTTCCAAGACACGAATGTGTTTTTACCTGTGCGATGCTGCCTCTGTTCTACTGGCTCTTCGACCTCGTCCATTGTGCGACTGACGCCGCCAGCGTTAACATGACGTTTACATCGCTCTTACTGTGTGCGTTTTGTGTGGGTTTCCGGCAATGAGTGGAATTACCGAAATAAAAAAATGTATAAATGTGTTTTTTGTGTGTGTGTGTGTGTGTGTTGTTGTCCCAACAACACATAAAAACAGATTTTATAATAAAGCAACTCACATACAGAAAGAGTAAAGTTAGAGATTAAAAATGAGATTAACGCGATTAAAAAACATAACGCGCTAAATATGACTGTAATTAATTAATTGCAATTAACACGATAATTTGACACCCCTAGTTTTTATACCTGATGCGTTGAAGCACCACACTCCAAACTTCAGTTTCTCTGGAGTGGTCCAGGTGACCACGCCCGTTTTCCCACCGCCACAGGTGGAGACTGAGGAGAGGCGGGGCACAGCGACTATCTGCTCCGACACCCAACCAAACCTGCACAATACAAAATGCATTTAAACAGCTACGTGTACTTTTAGATAACATGTACACTGTTAAGCGCCATTCCCACAGACAGTAGTACCCAGTAAATGGCTAGATACAAAATGCCAGGACCCTCAGCGGTGACCCCCGGTCACACATCCATCAGTCCCAGACTTTAGTCACACTTACATGACACTCATGCCAAGAGCAACACAAGTGTTTTCCTGCTTTCTCTTCACTCTTGTGTCTCCAACCCTCTACGGGAAGAAGGTCCTTGTACCATTTGTTCTTTTGAATTTCAGTTAAGAAAGAAGAAAAAGTTTGTTATTTCATGATTCCATTCTAGTGTCAAACAAAAAAACAAACTGATTTTGACCTCTATTTCCAATATTGTCTAGGTGCTTATGTTAATTTTGATACTTTATTGTCTCTAGTTTATATGCCTTGGAGGTTCTGCTGCTAGAAGGACTTACTTGAAAAATCCTTGCAGTTTTGTGGACAAACATGAAATGATGATGGTGAAAATAATATCAGTTTAAGTATAGGGACTAAAAACGTATTTAAAAATGGGAGAGGGAAGAAAAAAAAAACTGAAGAAACAGAGAGAAAAGGAATTTGAATTATGAATGAGCAGCAATGTGTCAATGTAAGGTGGCCTAGTGGTCTGTTTATGTTGCACTACCATATTACTTTTGTTTAATTTTTTTGTTGTTTTGTATTTGTTGTGGGTGTTGTGGGTGTTGCTTTATGTTTTTGTCTTTTGTTTTGTGCTGATTATTGTAATTGTTAAATGTTGAGTGTTGTATTTTTTAATGTTATATTCTGTTGTCCTTAATAATAATAAAAATAAAAACATGTCTTCTTCTTTTATAGTGTTTACTTTTACGTCTTAGAAAGTCATTGTTGAACTCCATAACGAGAAACAGGAAGCAGCGATAAACTCTCCTTTGTTCAGTTGACATCACAGAACTATAATAAAAATAACTTTGAATCCAAATCCATGGTTGACCGCAGATCAACCAGGGCAAATAAATCAGAGAGAATAAAATATCAAGATTAAAACAGGCACCGGGACTGTTTTTGATTGGTGTTCTTTGAAAAAAAACTTTAAATTAAATATTGGAAATAGAGGTCAAAATGATTTTTTGTTTTTGTTTGTTCTTTGACACTAGAATGGAATCATGAAATAACAAACTGTTTCCCATTTTGTTGCATTTTGTTCAAATGGTACACGGAGTAGTTGTAGCTACATTTGAATAAAGTTGACTTCAGTTTAACTCTGCTACACTCAGGTCACTTGGATCATGTAGCTCCTCTCTCCACTTCCTGACCTGCTCACACTATATGAGGAAACCTGGGAAATTGCCAGATCAAAACTGTAGATCCTTTACACATTTTGACTCTGGCAAAATGCAGGTACATTCCCAGGTCAGAGTGCATGTGTGAATGACGCTCAAAACAACACAAGTCAGGAGTTAACCAGGACAACACTAACCAGGACTAATCTAGATTTAAAGATGCACTCTCTAACCTTTTCCGTTTGGGGGAGGTGAGAGTGATCGCCTGTCCACAGATCTGACCTGTAACTTGACCTGCAATTCTCTCTTCCTGAAGATGAAGGTCCCACATGTAGGTCTAAACCAGCACTAATATCACATCTAAACAAGGACTCAACCAGATCAAAAACATTAAGCCAGTTCCCACTTGCACGTCTCCAGTCCATGGTCCAGAGCCCTCTGGAGCTGGGGTATGGTCGCCATGGAGACGTTCTTAAAGAGACAGGCCTCCTTCGCCTCAGAGAAGTCAAACTGGTACTTTCCCCATGGTCCGGTCAGCAACACAACTCCAGATACAGGAGGGAATGAGAACACTGGAGAGAAAAAAGACCAGGGTTAAACCAGGGCTACACCAGAACTAAACCAGGACTAAATCAGAACTAAAACAGGGCTAAACCATGATCAAACCAAGATTAAACCAGGACTAAGGGACTGAACCAACACAAAACAGGACCACGAATGAACCAGGACTAAACCAGAACTAGACCAGGACTAAACCAGGACTAAACCAAGATCAAACCAAGATTAAACTAGGACTAAAGGACTGAACAAACACAAAACAGGACTTAAAAAAGGAATGAACCGTGAATGAACCAGGACTAAACCAAGACTAGATCAGGACTAAACCAGGATTAGACCAGGACTAAACCAGAACTAAACCAGGACTAAACCAAGACTAGACCAGGACTAAATCAGAACTAAACCAGGACTAAACCAAGACTAAACCAGGTCTAGGTTGCAGAACTCTTCAGTGCATCTCTTTGTTTACAACATTATGATATTTACTAAAAAGAAAGTATGTTTAACCTTCCTCTTGTCTTAGGGTTTTAGGTTTAAAATGTATAAAAGAACCACACAGGGTTAGTTTATTGCATCAAGGCTTTTTGACTTTGTCAGGAATCTCAATTTCAACAAAATAATCCAAAAAATAAAAAATAAAAAAAATTTAATTCTAAATTTCTCTGGTTAAAAATATACCCTTTGTGGTGTTGGGGTCGGTTTCGACCCGGTTATAAAAATTTGATTAAAAAGCTATAATTATAACCAAAACTGAAATCACTGGAATCTCATTTTGTCTTGTTTTCCTGTTTACCTGCACACACACAGGCAGTGCTGGGAGTGGCATCCTTGAGAAAAAAACAAGGAAAACGTGTGGTCCTTGATATGAATACTGGACTGCAGGGTCACGATATCATTTGTGACAACTTTTTTTACCAGCTATGACCTTGGATAAGAGGTTCTTAGGAGGAAACTTACCATAGTGGGCATGGTAAAGAAAAATAAACCTAAGCTGCCTGCTGAAATCTCGCAGGTGAAAGGCAGGGCTTCACTTTCCTCAAGATATACTTTTACAGACACCACCAGTGTTGTCTCCTATTGTCCAAAGAAAATACTGAGTGTGGTACTTTTGTCTACTCTCCAAAAAGATGCAGCCGTGTCATCAGGAAAGCCCACAATTATCCTCAACTATAACAAAAACAAAGGCAGATTGGACAACCTGGACAAGCTGAGTGTCACCTATACTTGCCAACGAATGACCAGAAGATGGCCATGGTTGTGTTCAACAACATGGTTGATGCGTCTGCATATAATGCATTTGTGTTGTGGACCCGCATCAACCAAGGGTGGAACTCAAACAAAAAACTACAAGCAGAGAATGTTTGTTGAGGACCTGGGAAATTCAGGGTGCATGCTCAGCAAAGAGAGAGGGTGTCCTGAGATCCAGAAGGCCTTGAGGCCTTGGTCACCCAACTGTGGAGCTCCCCTAGCTCCATCCACGCCACAAAGACCATCCACACCAGCATCCTCCTCAGCCAGCCGTGCCTCAACACCAGCCACAACAACCACAGCCACAACCCCACTCAATTCACCTGACTGTAAAAGGAAGAGGTGTCAGGTTTGCCCAAGTAGTAATAGCAGTTGATAATGAAGTTCAATTGTTAAAAAAAATACCTTTTTAGCCTCTTTCTCATTGTAAATATATACGGGTCGAAATTGACCCCTAACACCATAGATGTTACTATAGTTAAGAACATCAAAATGAAAAAAAACAAAAACAAATTTATTTTAGAGATGTGTTCTAATACCCCTCAGAAAAAGTCAAGTAACACTAAAAAACTTTTATGTAGTTAAATTATTCTCTAGAGGTTCATTTTACCATTTTCTTTGTATTGAAATAGAGGGGTATACTGACAAAAATAGGAGCTGAAGCCCCCACCAAAGACATTCAAACCAACATTTTCATGGAAAAGGAAGCCTAACAAGGTAACCAAGAGATGAGAAACAAATTTGATGGTAGATAATTACTTTAAGTGTATTTTACAGCTGATTTAAAACACGGGTCAAAACCGACCCGTTAACACAATAGATGGTGATGGAAAGCTAACACAGGAGGAAGGTTAAAGGGGCACTATGTAACTTTTCTAAAAGATGGTCCATCACTTGACTTCTGTATGTTTCCATAGGTTATTGCCTTGCCTAGAATGTTCCACACTATGGTATAAAACATCTATCACCATGGAGACAAGGAGCTCAGATGGAGACAAATCTATGAAGTAAAAACACTGTAATTTAATAAACGAACAAAGATAAGTCGGCTGACAAACTAGGCAAAGGCATATCTCCATGGCAACAAGCAAGTGATCCTGACCAGAAAAGTTACATAGTGGAGCTTAAAGTTTTTGTGGACATTTTTCAAACCTGTGATGAGGCTGCGGTCCAGAGAGGAGCTGAAGTCCACCAGGATCAGAAAATAAAAGAATCCAAAAGACTCCATTTTACAAACAACATCCAAACATCATACTATAAAGCCCGAGAGGAAAAACGGGTATGATACGGAACGGAGAGAGAGGGAGAGGAGAGAGGAGCGAGAGCGAGCAAAGAGAGAGAGAGGAAAGAGACAGACAGTAAGGGAGAATAGACAGAGGAAAGAAAGAGGGGAGAGACAGAAAGAAAGGAGAGGAAAGAGAGTGAAGGAAAGGGGAGAGAAGAAGGGAGAGGGATACGGAGGGGGGAGAGAGAGGAGGGAACACGAGAGGGGTTTCAGGGGGGAGAAGGTCAACAGGAGAGAAAGGTGGAGAGAGAAGAAGAGGGAGAGAGACGGGGTGAGAGAAAGAGGGGAAGAGAGAGGGGAAGGGGGTGGGGGGCAAGACATGGGTGGAGAGGAAGAGGAAACAGGAGTGATATAGTCCCAGTAGCCATACATCACACATACACTCACAACAGTCATCTCGTCCTGGTTTAGTCCTGGTTAAGGTGATGGATAACTTCAATGCAGGCAGCTACTGTTTTCAGCCTCATTCAAACTGCTTCAAGTGTAGACTCCAGCAGCTTAGAGTCCATGCTCCTTTTGCATTTGAGGCTTGAGTCCTCAGAAAATTTGTGTTTTCACTTACCCCCTATATCCACCCTCTCCCTGTACTTAGTTGTGTTAAGTTGAAAAAAAAAAAAAAGAAATATCCCCTATAGCTACTTTTCAAAAATAAAACATGTAATCAAAATGTAATCTAGATGTTATAGCCTATTTCTTAACGAATGAAAACTACAATTTATTTGAAAAGTGATTTATCACCGTCCTCCGTGTGTGAAACTCCCCTATAGAATCCCCCGGTGACAGATGCTCTTTGTTTAAATGTCATTTCTGTTTTTATCAGAGTTTTTGCCTCAGCAGCAGATTCTACAGAGGCCACGGAGGGACACACTTCCTCTGCACTATCTGCTCTGTCAGTTCACTTCCATAACACATTACTAATGTGATGACAGGATACTGATACTAAACTAGACAAACAGGCCAATATCCTACACTTCTATGGGGCATGAACTGTTAATAACACATTTATATCTTTTATTGTTTTTAAAAATGCTATAGAGGGAGTACCAGACTGTGTCACTTCGTGCTCTACTGCTGGAAGATCTGCTGTCCTGTCTGTATCATGTCAATGTCTTGTAGGATTTCAGCAGATTTCAGGCTCTCCCGGGGCGGAGATAGTTGTATTGTTCAGGCACGAGTGGATGTCCGGCTACTGAAGTTTGAGACATTTCTTCTCGTCATTTACACACTGATCTTCATTTAGCATCAGAACTTATTTTATCACATGGAGATAAACTGTTTCAGTGCTGACAACATTTCCAGTTAGTGTTGCAACTTCATGTTGACCGCACAGACAGCGGTGCATTGTGCACTCAGGCTGCGTGCACATCCACTGTGTTGATAAACAAATTATCCATCTATATGGATAATCAACTGGACAAAAGTTTATTTTGGACAAAGACGTTTCGCAGCTCATCCAAGCTGCTTCTTCAGTTCTGGTCAGAATGCTGGTGGACACTGCCTTATATCTGTCTTTAAGGAGGAGATAACTACACTGAAACTACTCTGAAACTAACACACTTACTTGTTTACAGTTTTTGTGTGTTAGCTAGGCCTATTGAACTGCACTGTGTCTGGGGTCATATTAGCAGAATCATTCAGGGCCCTGATGAGTGCTTTCACATCTCTGGACTTGACCTGGCTATCACTATTGTTTTCTTTGATTTAGTTCTGAGGATGGAGTTGTAAATAGGAGGTAGATGATGTCTGAGTCCTCCATTTCTGTTCAAGGAAGGATTTCTCTTTCTTAACAAAAAACAGCCTCTTTAACTCCCCTGCCCCGCCATATATTCACAAGAAAAAACATATTCAAATGTTTCTCTCTAAGTTTGTCTGTTTTTGATGCCCCCTCCCTTTGCTCTTGGCTCTACGTCACTCCCCTTCAGAGCACCATTGCAACACAAATAGGGCTTTTGAGAGATTGCTAGATTACTCAAAGATGCATGGATGACTTTTAAAACATCTTCATGTTTTTGACGAGGGAACAACGTAACATGGTAGAAAGGTCTAATGAAATAAGACGTATTGTGCTTTTTTCAGGTACTTATTGAATTATAACAGATGTAGATCTCCATTTTAACTTTTTCAAATAATTGCTGCTAACTATAAGGATGTGGGCGGGGCTAGGGGATGGGTGAAAATGGGAATTTTCTGAGCACTCAAGCTTCAAATTCAGAATATACAGGATTTGTCAAACATGCATGAATCAATCAAAATAACTTAATATAGAACTTTGAGTATGAGGCCAAGGGAATATTTTTATAACATGGTCAAAAGTCACAATTAAAGTTGAGTTTGATTCATCTGAAAATAAAGACGTTGGACTGACTTCAATTTAAAAATCATGGAATAATATCAGTATGAAATCATGAGAGGCTGTCCCATTCACCCTCAGCTCGTGTGTCCTCTGTTCCTCTGCTTCTCTGTCCTCTCTCCTCCTCCTCCTCCTACTCTTCCTCCTCCTCCTCTCTGCATCTCCTCTGTGGGTGGGACTTCCTCACCTATTTCCTGCAGAACCGAGGAGAGGTATCAAGGAGAAGGAAGCAAGTGAAAGGAGTCGAGACGAGGCCAGGGAGACCCGTCCCATCCACAGGTCACAGGGAGCACTTCCGGAATGAACCTCACGAAACCTTTCCAGCAGCCAATAGGAGGCCTCGATACAGAGGAACACATCATTAAGAAGTCAAAAGGTCCTTATGGACAATGTAAGGTCCAAATGTTTGAGAATAATGCGCACTTTGTTCCATATAAGATGAGAGGAGGTCAAAAAACTGTTTTCATGGTCTTAAATAAGGAGCCATAGTAAAATAATACAAACAATAAAGATTACTTAGGTAAACTTATGATTTGCAAAAAAAAATAAAATTTTAAATCTAAAATTAAAAGAAAAATGTAAATAGATCAAGTTCTTTTTTTAAGCAAATAAACAACAAATAATCATGTTAACCATAAAGAATTACCAAAATGACCAAAAATCATGCATTTTAAGTAAATATTTAATCAAACAAAACAGGAATAATTATCTCAGTAATGAAAACATTACAAAAATTACAAAACTGGTTTTAGGCTCCAACAGACAGTATATACAGTAGTACGCATGGAACAAGTTATAAAAGGTAGTGAACATTGATTTTAAAAATAACTTTTTAGATCTCCACCTAATGACATCATCAGGTTACACTGTGCGTTTTCATGTGGTACAGGAAGTGGTCCGCTGTGTTTTTAAACTCCCTAGACCGTCACTAGAATTATATGGATGATTTCAGCTCTGGAATTGCTCATGTCTGCTGAATTAAAGGTAAAAGGAGCTGTTAACTTGAAAACTTTGTGACATGACAAGGGACAGAGCGTTTTGAGCTTTGGAGATGTGGACAGACTAATAATAATAAAGGGTTACATGTGTGAATGAAACAAAACACAACTCCAGGTCTGTTTGTGATGAGGAAATAACATTATAACATACAGAATATCAGAAAATAGTGTAATATGGAGCCTTAAGTCAATGGAAAAAATGTATAGGAGTGTCACGGATCCAACGTTTGAACTCACGTGAAAACAAAATAATGCGTATCATTTTCTCCTTGTATGAAGCCCTGCGCCCCTGTCCCCGCTCACTCACCGTGCTGTTGTCATCTCCATAGCAGCAGTGTATGTGCAGGTATGAGCTCATGTTACTCATTAAATATAAAAGTCTTTTAAATCCACTAGCCTCTATTTGAGACGCTCCGCTCCCCTGAGTCACTGCACTACAGAGGTACTACAACACAAGGTAGGAGTTTGTCTAATACTCACATGGTTTGGATCTATAGGAAACAGTACACCTTATTTATATAGATTTAGTTTTTATTGTTTTGAGTAAATCATATAAAAGTGTAGTTTTTTTAAGTTCAAAAATAGAAAGGTAATTTGGGAAGAGAAGTGCTGATGCAAGACTAGAGTAATTTCAATGAATACATTTACAAAACAGCCAGAATATTGGTAAAAAAAAAAAAAAAAAATTACTTTTTACTTTGAATTTACTAGAAAAACTTTGAAGTGCACCTTTTAGTTGTACTTAGTAATACAATTCCAGCTATGTTCTAGACTTTTTTTTTTTTTCTTAAATGAAATATTCATTTTATGCTGATTTTTGTTTTTTCTTATGAATTGTATTAAACTGTCAGGAAACTTTTCAAAATTCTAAATGTTAAAGGTGTACAGTGTAACTTTTCTGGTTTCCATGGAGATTGTTTTGTATTAAATGTCCCATAATATCTTATATGTATTAAATTGCAGGTGATTCTATTTATTACTCAAAATGCACCTCAAAATTATGCATTCTTACTGTGAGAGGGGTTGCCTCTTCACAGATCTGACCTGGCTTGTCTCAGTAAAGATAATATAATAGTGCCATCTGGTGGAACATTCCAGGCCAAACAATAAAATCTCCATGGAGACAAGCAAGCGGCATACCAGAAAAGTTAGGGCCTGTTTACATGAGAATGCTTGCGGGTAAAAACAACTAAATATTTTATCGGAAGTGCCTTTCGTTTAGACAGTGACGCTGTTTTTGGAGATTAAAAACGCAAAAATCTGAAACCACCCTCCAGAGTGGAAAAGCTGAATATGCTCTGCCGTAGTGTTTGCGTCTACACTGCCCAAGACGCAAAACTCTGGTCAGATCTGCTCACGTCGTGTACGCGTTTATGTCACATACATACAGGACACAGAAACATGTTGGATGGTGTGTATATCCAATCTAATTCCACACACTTTTGCATCACCGTATGCATGCAAATTTCCCCCTGAAAATGCTCTTCTAAGCTCAAAATAAAAAGTGAAGACGCAACGCCACTTTGGTGTCTTCTGTTCGGACCGTCATCATGTAAACGTAGCCTCAGACAGTAAATAGTTTCAGATAATCAGGAAGTGCACATTAGCATGCTGATCAATTCATTGTGAAAATCGTGGTGAATAATTAGGATGTTGTGAATGCAGTGCGCAATAACTCTGAACACCTGCAAACCCTTTAAAATGAACTAGCTCTGTTTTTCACCTTTTTGA